AAAATATTATGGCCATAAGTGGGGAAAATCATTGGCCATAGTCGGAGTTGATCTGGCCATAATAGGGGAAAATGAGAAATTAAAAGTTAAATTGAAAATTCTTCCTAACTATTACTTACAGAGACTTGAAACTTTAACCAAGTATAAGTCATGTTATAAAGTATACTTGGTTTGAATTTCAGGATTTTTCTATGATCATAACTACAATTAGTACAATATATTCACAAAAAAAATGCTTAACGTGGCCATAGGTGGCGACTCCACCCTACAAAATTATTTTAAAATTTTTTGATTAGCATTAGATCGGCTAACGAGCGATTTTACCAAACGACCACTCAGTATTGGAAGCAGTAACGGCTGTTGTAGTGATAGCTATGATCCTCTCCCAAACCATCATCTCCTTGCTTCAAAAGAAAGTTATGATGTACCAAGACCGCTGAATAGACAAGTCACTCCTAGTAGTTCGATCAGCTCATTATCAACTGGTGGTATTTGTAGTAGTACAAGCGGAAGTGAATCTAATCGGTCTAGTAGTATTGGACTGGATTATGATATTCCTAGAAACCGAACATTAGCTTCTTTGCCATCTGAATTTCAGAATTTTACTATTAGTACTCAGGTATAAACATATCAGAAATAAATATTTTATTTGTTTTTAATAAAAAAAATCATATGAAATAGGATTATGATGTTCCATCAAATAGTTTGCAACCTAGAGAATTATCTATAGATTTGAACTGTGCACTGGAATGTTTAGACAAACTAACATCAGAAGTCTCTTTTAATACTACTCAGCTATTAAATTATGCTGGGCCAAATTGGAGGAGTCAAAAAAATTTAGAAGCCAATCTTCTTGATATAAAAATTATATCTTTACGACTTAAAACTAGTTTACACAAATTTATTGCATTTTCAGAAGGATGTTTAGGAAATGCAGTTAATGCTCGTGATAAAGGTATGCTTGTAGTCATGTATATTTATTTTGGTTATAATATAAATATCATTGTTTTAGGGATCTCAACTAAACTTCATCCGTTAGTATTTGATTTAATGAAAACTGATAAAATGATCAGTTTTTGCACAAATACTTTGGATTGTCTAGATTGGAAACCACATGTATTACACAGAGATTCAAACCATGAATGTGAATATTCTGAAGACTCCTTGGATAAGCTAATTTCATGTGCCAAATTATTGATTGATGACATTCGTCAGATCACATCGTTTATTAAGGTAATATTAATATTTTTAGGGCGTGTTGCATAAACGTCCTGTAACTACTTACAGATCTGTAAGTACGTTAACGGATCTGTAAATAAAATTAGGTGTTGCTTGAACGCTCGGTAAAGTTACCGGCTCTGTAAATTATTGGCTACCGGACCAGTAAACTGCAGATCTGATTTGGGCTCAGTAACTAGTTACAGATCGGTTAAAATAATATAATATTATTATTATGATAAGATAAACGTTACGCACAATTTTTTGGTTTAATATAGTTAAATTTATTTGGTAACCACGGTTATTAATAATTTTATATTTCTTTATGTAACCAGAGAATAGTTTACACAATCATTAAAAACCTTACAGAGACGGTAAATTACAGGGACGGTAACAAATTTACAGACTGTTCTTTATGCAACCCGCCCTTAATGTATTATGTTTCTATTGCATATTATTCTTTAACACACCAATGTACAATGAGCAATTTAAAATTTTACTTTAGTTAACCTTCTATACCATAATCAAAATTAGAAACTTGAAGTTTTTATCGACTATTGGAGTAATTTGATGTGTGGTTTCAATAAATTTTTTTTTAGTTATATGTTAAATCAATGTATACTTTATAGTTTATTCACTGTATTAAACTATAGTCCATCATTTTTACTTAGTAGAATGTTTATTATTTTTCTTTATTCCATGTTGTCAATAATTAAAAATAAGAACACTCATTTTTAGCTACTTATTTTATACATCTTTTAATTATTTTTTGTAGGGTAACTCAACATTATTGTTTAAAAAAAGAATAGTATGTGCTGATGATGAAGATGATGATTATGAATACATAGGTGATGAGAGTGGCAAAAATCCAAATGTAACTAGTGCTTCCATTAAAAATGACAGTCCCTCTTCTGGAGTTTCTAATAATGAAAGTCTTTCTTCTGGACTTTCTACTAATGATAAAAAAGTAAGATATAGAAATCTTTTGATATAATATATACATAGTGCTTTACCAAGTATGCTCACTCTCCTCCCTTTTTCTTTTTAAAATTTTAAATATACGTAATATAACAATACCCGTTAAAAAAAGAACTAATAATAAGTCATTGATTTATATATATATATATATATATATATATAATTTTTTTGTATCTATTTCTCAAAAGTGAATGTAGATTTTAAAATAAATAACTTAAATTATGGTACCTCGTGGCTTATATTTTCCATTAAATTGAATCACAAGTAGAAATAAAACTGGGTCCATCACAGTTAAAATAAATGAGAGTTGGTGATTTCATAAAATACTTTTTTCCCTAACCATTATTCTTGTTAATAATTTATTACTTTATAAAGTTAAAAAATTAGCTAATCAATCTGAGGCCTGGTTTTGGGGTTGAGCACGCTTGGTACACCTTGTATCCATAAACCTAATATCTCTATAGTCTATACTTTAAAAAGCTTTCGAAAATTACCTATCTGTTTGAATTTAAATTATTTAAAAATTAAATTTTGTTTTAGATAGTTAAATTCTATAGTCATCAAATCGCCAATCAATCTGATTTTTTAACTAGTCACATTAACACGTTTTTACAAATTGTTGAACAAAACCGCCCACCACCAGTATTTGTTATGAAAGTCAAGTATATAATATTGATTGCTCATCAATTGGTTGTTGTTGGTGATACAATTTGTAGAAATATACAAGAGTCAACTGTGAAGAATCATGTGGAACAATGTTCAAAAGCTTTATCTGCAGGTATTTCGACAGTAGTTCAAAAATCTAAAATAGCCACACAGTTATTTCCTAGTGTAACTGCTGTACAAGAAATGATCAACAGCATTGTAGAAATTTCACATATTGTGAATGATCTGAAAATATCTGTTTTAAAAGTTAAATGAACTTTATGTTTGATATGTAGTTCATGGTATGCTGTGCTGAAATGTATAGTAAATGGTCTACTACCGTACTTAATTTTAACCAAGTGATTAAAAATGTAAACAATGAGTACGGGTGACAATTAGGTGACTCTAATGATAAATGATAAATTATATATAAACTTCATAATCTGTAAATTAAATAATTTCATTTTAGTTATTCCTCCTCACTTCGCTATAAATCACCAAATCTCCCTTTAAAAAAATCAGATGGTAGCCTTGCTATCTCCGACCTCGAAAAAGCTGAACTTTTTAAGGAGCATCTTTCTCAAACTTTTCAACCACACTTCGACATAACTAAAAATATGAATGCGGTAGAAACATTCCTAAATTCTTCCCTTCCTCTATCTTTCCCTGTCAAGTCTTTTACTCCAAATAATGTAAAATTTGCCATACTGAAATACTCACTAAAAAAATCGCCAGGCTATGATCGCACTACTGCGGAAGTAGCCAGTTCTTTTCTAACTAGAGCTATTGTCCCATCACTCACATATTTAATGCTTCACTTAGACTTTCTTACTTTCCTCTACTTTGGAAATTCTCCACTATAGTCTTGTTCCCTAAACCAAATAAACCACCGGACATTCCATCTTTCCATCGAACAATCAGCCTTCTTCCATTTTTCGCTAAAATCCTTGAATGATTAATTCTGAAACGTATTATACCCATCATTACTGAAAAGAATATTTTTCCAAATACCCAATTCAGGTTTCGAACGTCTCACTCAACCATACACCAAGTACACAGAGTCGTAGATGCCATCTCGTATTCCCTGGAAAATAAACTTTATTGCAATTGTGTTTTCCTAGACATTTCACAAGCCTTCGATAGGGTGTGGCACGATGGCCTTCTATATAAACTAAAGAAATTCTTTCCACCCACTAACTACCTACTCATCAAATCTTATCTAACGGATCAAAATTTTCAAGTTTGCTACAGTTCCGCTCTCTCTGATATAGCTCCTATAAAGGCTGGCATACCTCAAGGTGGTATCTTATCTCCAATTCTTTATAATATTTTTGCTTCTGACCAACCTACTACCACCAATACATCAGTAACTGACTACGCTGATGACAAAGCGTTAATATCCATCAACAGAGATCCAATCATAGCGTCAATAAACCTACAAACTCACCTTAATGCTATGGAAAAATGGCGGTTTAAAGTTAACCAGAATAAGTCAGTTGTTACAACCTTTACGCTCAGACATACTCCTTGTCCTGGTGTAGTTCTATATGGCCTTCCGATTCCCTACTCTCCAAAAACCAAATACCTCGGTCTAATTCTTGATCAAAGATTAATGTGGCCTCATCACATCAGAACTAAAAGATTAGCTTTGAATCATCGTCTCCGCTTACTTAAACCTTTACTATGCAATAATAAATATACATCCACTAAAACTAAGCTTCTTGTTTACAAAACGCTATTAAAACAACTATGGACTTACGGCCTTCAACTTTGAGACAATGCGAAGAAGACAAATATTCAGAAAATCCAAACCTTTCAAAATATTGCACTTAGAAAACTGATGAATGCTCCACCCTACGTTTCAAATCATACACTACACACTGACTTAAAACTCAAAACAATTAATGAGGAAGCAAAAAATCTTTTATAAAAGATTCCATTGCCGCCTAAATAATCATCCAAATCAACTTGTTAAAAACTTGGCCACTCCTACGATACCTGGAAATCCTCTGAGGCATTTGAAGCGTAAGTGGTGCCGTGATTTCTTAAATTAAATTAAATTAATTAAAAAAAAAAAAATGTATAAATTAAATTAACTTATGTTATTAATTAAACTATTCAAGCTAACAGAAAGTGTCATCAATGGGTGGCTCCTTTCAACAACATTTCATGACCTGTTAACTTTTAGCATATAATCCTATTGTGTCTAGATATAATTTATGATACAGATTATTTATTTCTTGTAAAAAAAAAAAAATAAATAATAAAGTTATTCATCCTAATAAATGAAAAATCCAAAAAATTTAAATAACGATGATTTGCAGTGAAAAATTACATATTTAGTCTTTTATTAACTTTTAACTATTCAACGATAATCATATCTATGAAACAATGGATGCAATGAAAATATAAACTGGGTATACTTTATATTTTAGATACATTATGCTAACCATTTTTTATTATTTATCTTATTACTACCTATAACAATTTTGATAGGAAGGACACTGAACTTTGTCAATTAACAATTTTTTTTTTTTAATAACAATGTGCATAATAGACAGTTTACAACATATCTGATTGTTAATTTATCTGATGTTAATATAATTGCAACAACCATGATAACAATAATATATGTTATAAGCAGGGCTTGGAACTTGATGCTCTAAAAAACAATGAAATATGTGCATAATATGGAATTATTTTCCATACAAAAAGAATAAACTTGGAAAAAGTATAAATATTTTAAAAAATTGTTTTCTATAATTTTCACTTGTAGATCATAAAGTATTATATCTAAAGTTTGAAATTAAAAATTGTTAAATGTATCTAATACAGCAAATAATATTAAATTATGTAATTATATTTATTTCAAATCAAAATATTGTTTGATTTTAAAAATTTTTTTTTTTACTGTGAATAAAGCTTCAACAACTAAGTCATCATCTTATGGTTGTAGATACAATATTATTAGTGGATACTTCGGTTATGATTGTATATTATATGATATATTGTTTATAATTGAATGCATTTTAATGAAGACCTTGGTTGATCATAACAAATATTTACAATTAATATTCAATCAAGGTATAGTAAAATGTAAACATAGTGTGCAGCTAGTAGCTACTCTTTATATTTAAATTATTTAAAATTTATATATTTTCGGTTTATAAATATAATATACATTAATGTGCCTAAAATATTTAAATATTCAAAATCACATAAATTTAGTAAATTATGCATCATCTACAATGTTTGTATTTTCAATACACAATATACAAATGTATTAAGTTCCGAGCTCTAGTTATAAGTCCAATTTGTCTAAAAAAAATTTAGCTGTGCCAAAAACTTTTTTGTCTTAAAATTTTAAAACTGATCGGTATTAAGATGTTATATAGTCACTATAGTTGAGGATATAGATATTAATTGTTTAAATTTGAAGCGCTTCTATAATAAATGAATTTACTTAAATACAATCAGCTTCTAAAAATTTGTTACTATTTTATAAAATATTATAAATGTTATGCATAATTTATTGTGAAGACTATATTATATAGACCGATTTTTTTGGTAATTTAATTGCAAACATTCTGATTATTGAAAATACCTAAATAATTAATTGACAATAATTAATTCATATTACAAAACTATTTGAAAAATAATATGCTATTTATTTTTAAATTATTTATTTATGGCTGTAAGTTTTTTATATTTAAATTTTAACGCAAAAAAATATAAACGTCAATAAATAAAGTTTATATGGCCATTCAAAACAGTCTGCTCATATGATTTTATCGTTGAATATGAATATACATTAAAAATATAATAGTAATGTTCCACTTGCTCTCCCCTCTAAAAACTCTTTTCTGCTCTCTAGTCTGTCCCGTCCTTGAGTATGGTTCCGTTGTCTAGGACCCGTCCACCGCTTCCGCACGTAGCATGATAGAAAGGGTTCAAAGAAAATTCCTCTGTCAAGCTGCTTACAAACTCAAGATAGTCTGTCCACCTCACGATTACACGCCAATCCAACGCCTCTTTTCCTTAGAAAGCCTCGCTGATCGTCGTCATTCAGCTAACTTGACATTTCTATTCAATCTTCTTTCATCTAAAATTGACAGTCCTGAATCACTATCCCGTGTCACATTTAATGTCCCCTCCCGCCGTACACGATCATCTGTTCCATTTCATATACCTTTCCCTTCCTCAAACTACTATCTTAACTCACCGATCATCTGTCTTATGCGCATTGCCAACACTGACCCTTCATTCTCTCTCCAAAATTGAGCCTCGTTTCCATAAACAAAACTATTATTATTATACTATTATAATCATGTATTAACCCTACAATGCATGATTTTTTTTTTTTAAATTTTTTTTTTAATTGTTTCTTTA